AAATACCTATCTAACCACTAAAACTAATATCATCCTTCAGACCAATGCTCCTAGCATGTTGAACGTGTTTGACACTTTGACCCTACTCAGAACCTTTGTGAGGGGATCTGCAGGATTCTCTTCTGATGATACCCACTTTACGACGAGGTGTCATTCTTCTACCCTATGTCTGATAAAAATGCTATTTTCTTTCAATATGTCTTGATCTGCCATGATCTATTGGTTCCTTTGTCAAGGAAACCGCTCCTTTATTTTCACAGTAAATTTCCATTGGCTCCTTTATGGCTGGCACAACCCCAAGGTCTTCGATGAAGTTCTTCAACCATATAGCCTCCTTCGATGCTTCGCTTGCTGCAATGTACTCTGATTCACAGGTAGAATCAGCCACCGTTTCCTGTTTGGGACTTTTCCAAGTTACCGCTCCTCCATTAAGGGTAAACACCCAACCAGATTGAGAACGGAAATTGTCTCTGTCTATCTGAAAGCTGGCGTCACTATACCCAGTAACTCTCAAGTTATCACTGCCACCAAGCACAAGGACCCAATCCTTAGTTCTTCGCAGGTACTTGAGAATGTTCTTTACTGCTATCCAATGAGCTTTACCCGAGTTTCCCTGATATCGACTAACCATGCTTAAAGCAAAAGCCATGTCAGGGCGAATACATATCATAGCATACATGATCGATCCAATGGCAGAAGCATAAGAAACTCGACTCATTTCTGCTATCTCTGCATCAGTACTCGGACACTGAGTCTTACTCAGTTTGGTATTACTCTGTATAGGCAACTCTCATTTCTTGGAATTCTCCATGCTAAAACGCTTTAGCAACTTATCCAAATATGTACTTTAACTAAGTCCAATTACTCTTTCACTCTTGTCTCTCAAAATCCTTATCCCAAGAATATAAGTAGCCGCTCCCAGGTCCTTTACAGCGGAACATTTTCCAAGCCAAGACTTAACTTCTTGCAAAGTTGGAATGTCATTTCCTATAAGAAGTATGTCATCGACATAAAATACCAAGAAGTTTACTATACTCCTACTAGCTTTGACATATACACAAGATTCATCTTCACTTCCAGAGAAACCAAACTCTTTTACTTTCTGGTCAAAGTAAAGATTCCATCTACGAGAAGCTTGTTTCAATATCTTACACACTCTATTGGGATACTTTTCATCTACAAAACCCTCTGACCGACTCATGTAAACATCCTTAGCCAACTTCTCATTAAGGAAGGCGGTTTTGACATCCATTTGCCAAATTTTATAATCATGAAATACAGTTATGGCTAGCATTACCTTAATAGATTTAATCTTAACTACTGGTGAGAAGGTCTCATCATAGTCAATCCCTGGGGTTTGAGTAAATCCCTTCGCAAACAGTCGAGATTTGAAAGTGTGTACCTTTCCATCCATGTTGGTCTTCTTCTTGAAGATCCATTTGCACCCAACTGTCTTACGACCTGGTATATTGTCAACAAAATTCCAAAATTAGTTGGCATACATGGACTTGATCTCGTTGTCCGTTGCCTCTTTCCACTTGGCAGACTCAGGGCCCGCCATGGCTTCCTTGTAGTTAGAAGTCTCATCCAAATTTACCAGCATACTATCGTTGATAAACGAATCACCTTCAGTCATTATATGAAAACCATACAACAAAGGCGGAACGCTAACCCTACTAGAACGCCTAAGAGGTAACGACTCGTCAATTGGTTCAATTGGAATTTCTTCCTCGGGTTGAGCACTAGCATTATAGAGGTTCCTTCATCGTTTGACTCTTGAATTTCTTCAAGATCATTTGTACTTCAAGATCATTTGTACTCCCACTGTCTTCTTTGCATATGATTTATCTCTCTCTCGAAAGTCTCCCATTCATGCTACACAGACCACGTTGTCATTAGGTCTGTAGAAAAAATATCCAAAGGACCTTTGTGGGTAACCGATGAAAATACATCTCTCACTTCGAGGTTTAAGCTTTTCATGAGTCTCTCATCAAACGAAAGCTTCACAACCGCAAACCTTGATCTATGTCAACGAGGGAACCTTCTTTGTCCATATCTCGTGAGGTGTTTTGGCAACCTTCTTTGTTGGGACAAGATTAAGAATATGGGTGGCAGTCTCTAAGGCATACCCCCAGAAATAGATTGGAAGTGAAGCTCGACTCATCATGGAACGAACTATGTCTAACAATGTTCGATTACGCCTCTCAGCCACACCATTAAGTTTTGGTGTCCTAGAAGGTGTCAATTGTGAAACTATTCCACATTCCTTGAGGTAGACGTGGAACTCGATACTAAGAAACTCACCGCCTTTATCGGATCTAAGCATATTTATCTTCCTGCCCAGTTGATTCTCGACTTCTTGTTTGAACTCTTTGAACTTTTCAAAGGTTTCTGACTTATGCTTGATTAAGTAGATATAGTCATATTTTCTATAATCATTGTAAAAGTCACATAGAATCAATTTACATCTCTTGTGGTGGATCTGAAGGACCCACACACATCTGTGTGTATGAGATCCAACAATCCCTCACCTCTTTCACAAGAATCAGTGAAAGGTTATTTTGACATCTTTCCAAGTAACAAGACTCGCACGTATCATCTGACCTTAAGTCAAATGATTCCAACCACTACTAGAAAAAACCCTTTAATGACACGCATTGTGTTTCATAAAAGGGTACAGATGACACGCAAATGCGTGTCAAGGAAGGCCCTGTCATAAAGGAAGACGACAAGCTTTTGCGTGTCGTAAACTTACGACACGCATTTAAGATGTGCGTTTACGACACGCATTGCATGTCAAGGAAGGCCTTGTCTAAAGTAAGACGACACGCATTTGCGTGTCGTAACCTTACGACGCGCGGTTAGGACACGCATTACGTATCATTAAAGCCCCTGTCATAAATGAAGATGGCACGTATCTGCGTGTCATAAACTTCAACAACCATTTACGATATGCATATACGACGTGCCTTTACGATACTTATTTACGCATAATACAAAAATATAGAAACAAATATATACCAAAACAATCAATTTCATCCAATAACATCATGTCAAATAATTGTAATACATTGATATTAAGGGGATCTGATTGTACATTGTTAGTAAGAGGTTTTCCCTAATTATATAACCTAATACTAGATTTCTATTAAGGGCCACCTTCTTGTTTCAGGTATCATGTCAAAAAAAAATCCTCCATATCATTGGTTTGCCACATGGTGTACTGGGCTGCTGTCCACCGGACGTGGATGGCAAGTAATGACATGAACACTAGATCTATATTCTGGTTTGCCCATTATAAGAACATGTTGCAAGACACCAACCAAAGCCATGAATGATTAGCTATAGCTATAAACACATAGATGATAACAAACATGGATAAATTTAGAAATTGTCGCTTTTTTCACATTGTCGATAGTACAAAAAGGGAAAACTTTGATAGATAAAAAGTATCAGTTGAAAATAGACCTCCTTTTTTGCATATGACCACCTTCAAAAGAGAAGTCTGACTTTTCACACTTCCTACTTCTCATATAATCTAAATCACATGACCAGTTCTTCCATGATATTGCACAATTATCTTCCAGAAATTTGACATCCAAGAAGCTAGATTTTTCTGAAAAAAAACAAGGAATCAAAGAATGGGTCATTACGAATACACCCACACAAAAAAAAGATATTGAAACATGTTACCTTAAACATACTAATGTGAAAGGTTGTAGTCTGTCCAATAAGTGTAAAAATTATACTTTTGGAATATAAATGTAATTTATTTAAAATCATGAAGTTGTATTAAAAAGATTTTACATAAGATTTAATTACTAAATTACCACATAGCCACGTCGTCCATTATTATTTCCTCGTTCAACTTGCATAGTTACACTTAAGCGGTTAATCCAACAACCCGCCACACAATCTATACAAAATATATATTCGAATACATTTTGTTATCAATTAATAGATTTAATTTAATTTAACCAGATTAATTAGCATATAAAAATTTGTAACCTTATTTATATGAAACATAACATGTGGACCCCATTAATTCCTTTTTTTAATCATTTTTTTTATTTTAACACTTGTTTTCATTTAATAAATAGGATAGGAAGATTAGTATGAAAATGGAAAATAGAAGGATATTTGAATTCTCTTCTTTTAATTATAAAAAATTACTTTGTAAATAGTTCAACAGTAAACTTATGATGAAGTTTAAGTAAATATAGGACAGCTTTATAAGTTAATTAAAACTACTTTCTGGTTTTCTATAAATAATACAGAATGAAGTTTGAATAGTTCAACAGTAAAACATAATGATGTTTAAGTAAATATAAGACTTTACAATAAAATTATCGAACTTACCAAAATTCCTCATCACATAGAAAGATCATTGTCCTGGATGAATGATGAATAATACCCATGTGATTGCAATAAGTATACAAAAAAGGTTAGGTTAGTGGTTAGGTTAAAATACAAGAAATACCAACATACTTTCATTTATTTGTTTATTATAGTTCCTATTACAACATTGTATTTTTAAAAAGTAAGATGCTATAACAAACAATTAAATGGAAGTATGTAGGTATTTCTTGAATAAAAAATAAGTATAAGAGTAGAATAACTTACATCAAATAAATGGAAGCCCCTGTATTTGTCAAGAAAGGCATGTCGCTTTCTTAAGAGAATACGGACTCAAACATTTAGAGAACAGATGCCGAATTCCCGTGTACCTTGCTAACATCAGGCCTCACCTAAAATAAATAAATAAAATTCTTATATCCATAAACCCGTCACTTTACTTTTCATAAATAAATAAATCCCACAACAATTTATACAAATCTTACCCTGTGGGCAGTTTGAACATATGGAGACTTTCTTGAAAGAGCAACATGTCCCATAAGGCAAAAAACGAAATCAATATCAGAATTTAAAAAGAATATTTGGTTGTAAATTGTAATACCTTAGTAGGAAACATTACATACCTAAATGCTAGCAGGACCCCATTAAATGAAATTAACAAGCTTTCTTTCGCCTATTCGTTGCAAACTATCATGAACCTAATAATAAAAGCATCTTACAATATCATCCATGGAAGTTTTCAGATTGCAAAATGTATGTTGACTTGACTGACCAGAGTAGGGTCAACTTCTCCCTGAATGATGTTCAGTATGGAGATATATTTTGCCTGACTGGCTTCTTTTGTCCTAGCATGTGATGAAACCATGATATTCTTTGTCTGCAAAACATAAAATTTTTTGCACCCATGAGTATGACAATCAAAGCTTCACTAAAACAACTTCTAACATTTTCTTGCCTGAAGAAGTCTTCTCATCACATCCAATACCGTGGTTTTTCGAATCATATTAGCCTACCGATAACAAGAATTTAAAGTTCACCTGGATAATAACAATAAGAATAATTATAACAAATATTTGAAAATCTTATTCTTATATACCTGGCGTTCCACTGTGAGTGGTGTATACCCTGTCATAAGAAAGTGGCATCTTGGTGTTGGGACCAAAGAAGCAAGAATAATTGACTATAGACTAAGCCGGCAGTGTGTGTTTTGTTTGAGAGAGAAAAAAACAAGTTGTAATGAGTTGTACCTTGAAGTCACCGTTGATGATCATTTCGACCATACAAAAGATAGTAGCAAACAAACACATAACCATCTGAATCTTTTTAGGAAAAAAAATGTGTGTTTAGTCTTAGGGCCTGTTTGTTTGCATCTTAATATCTCTTAATAAGGGGTAGCTCTGAATCTTTAAGATTCAGACCGTTTGTTTAACTCTTAAGTTTTGGTCTAAATCTGAATTTTAACACTTACCGAATCAGATTTGAAACTCCATCTGAAAAAATAAAAGACGCGCTATGCTCTTAACCCCAAAACACGTTCTCTCTTTCTCGCCCCCTTCTCCTCCTTCTCACCCGCTTCTTCTCCCTCACCGATCTCCAATAATCGTCCACTTCCTCCGATCTACAACACCGCCTCCGACATCAACGTCGTCTCCGACATCGTCTCCGGCAGCCAAGCCCTTCAGCTCACTCATCGACGCCGGTTCTCTTCCACCACTTTCTCCTCCTCCTCTGATTCTGTCTGCATCTATTCGGTCGGCAACGTCACCGCCGACTTCGCATCCGCCTCCGGTTGCTTCACCTGTGCCGCCTTCACCCCCGGTATCTTCTGCAGGTAACATTTTCTTTTTCTCTTGTTATGTAATTCGAGTTTAATGCTTAAAAATCTAGTGTGTTTCCCCTGTAATTCGAATATCAGAGAATCATTACTTTGAGGTTAGTTTTGGTTCAGTTTTGATTTATGATAATGTGTTGATTTCTGAAATATATGGGGTGATTTTCTGATTTTGTGTTTATTTGGTGAAATATATTGCTGAGAATGTGTTACTAGTTGCTGATTTGTTCTTTTTTATTGATAATGTGTTCCTAGTTGTTAATATAAGTTGTTGATTTTCTTCATTTGCTGAAATCTGTTGCGGATCTTGTTGTTATGTGCTGAAATGTTGTTGACATATGTTGATCTTTGAAATTTGATAATGTTGTTGATGAAATCATATGCTTTGCTTTTTTTTTTCCTAAAATATGTTAATATTTTGCTAATGAAATCATATGCTTTTTTGTTTTGCTTGATGAAATATGAATATTAGCATGTTATTGATTCACTAAATGAAAGTACAATGTTATATATTGAACAGGTGGTGTCTATTAGTGGAGGATATTTCATACCCACAAGCTTAAGGAGTTCATTAGCATTAGATTTGTTATGGATGGAGATGGTTCTAAAAGATTTCACAAATCAATGAAAGCATGAGCGTTTGGTATAATCAAGAAATGATAGTGTTATGTTTGATTTGGATTTATGTTCTGGATTTTATATGGTGTTTGTAAATTTTTTATAATTATTCAAGAAGTTGATTCGGTTATTTTATAAAAAACGTTAAATTTAGCAAAAATAACATAGAAGGGTAAAATGGTTATTTTTATAATTTAGCACTGCAATTCAGAGGTTCCAACCAAACAACATTTGAAAATTCAGATCTTAAAAATTCAGAACCTCTTAGAAATTCAGACCTCTTAAAAATTCAGCTCTTATAAATTCAGATCCTGCCAAATAGCCCCTTAGTGTCTTACAGTAAAATTGCGTCTCCATGAGCTATGAGATTCTTGGAAGAGTAAGATCCTTTAAAATTTTTGGAAGGTGCAGGTCATCCGTAGGAGAAATTGTTGTGACAAATATGTGGAAAAAGACTCTGTAACAACGTAAATTTCCAAAATAATTTTTCATTTTTAAATCATACTTTTAACCATAAAACAATATCAAAACATAATGTATCCAATGTCATCATCACAAAACATTTCCCAGAATCCCAACATAATCTCTATGAGTGTGTACTGATCATGCCGGCGCCTTCCCGCGATCCTCACTAGTACCTGAAACACATAACACACAACATGGTAAACATAAATGCTTAGTGAGTTCCCCAAAACACAACATACAACACATACGCCACTCAAGGCTACAGTACGACCCTCCGGTCGATGTGTCTCAGCGGAACCCTCCAGTCCCGTAGCTCGTTGGACCCTCTGGTCCGGTCATAGCTCGTTGGACCCTTCGGTCCGGTCTGTATCGTTGGACCCTTCGGTCCGGTCTATATCGTTGGACCCTTCGGTCCGGTCTATATCGTTGGACCCTCCGGTCCGGTCTATACAACACATAACATACATATATCACAATGCACATAATCTCATACATACACATAGCACACAAGACCCTCCGGTCTACGCATAGATACCACTCTAGGTAATGTATAGTGAGAAGACTCACCTCGGGTAACTCGGATAATCTCGCATACGAATATACTGATCTAGCCCCCCGCCTAATCACATACACAATATCCTCAAATAAATAATGGCTCTCAAAGGCTAGATTAAATCCCTTTCTACAATCCCACAGAAGGGTAAAAGACCATTTTACCCCTCCTTGACCCAAAAGTTCAAATGTTGACCAAAACCCTAAAAGTCAACGAAAGTCAACAGGAGCAGTACGCGGCGCGTACCAGCTCTTGTACGCGGGGCGTACTCCGGCGATCCAGAATCGGGATCTCGGACCCTTACGCTGCGGGTACTGAGATTTACTCCCAGCGTAAGTCTCAGTTTCAGCCTTTCTTGGATTTTGGTCTTAAACGGTTAAGACATAAGCTCAAACTCTAGATCTGACTTCTCTAATATCACTTAATCCATAAAGTCGAGACCTTTAAGCCTTTGCATGGCTGTAAAGGTCCCTAATCACTCTAACACCTTTCCTTCTTCCTCATAAAGTCTAGATCTCATGCATGGCTCAATATTCACGTCCAAGATTGGATTTTTATGAACATACAACTCATATTACCCTGAAATATGGCAGATCTAGGCCAATGGAGACCATTTGTTCATAAAGTCTCCACCTTGGGACCAAAAACCCTAACAATTGGTCCAAGAAGCACAAATCACAAATGACAAGGAAAGCTTTGAGCTTTTTACCTCAGAAAGAAGCTCCAACCTCTGTAGAACTCAGATCTACTCTTGTCCACCAACTTCTAGCTCCTAAAATGGCCTCCTCTTCTCTTTCACCACCTTGAAATGGCACTTTGAAGCTTAGAACACACACACACAAGCTAGGAACGAAGGGTAGCTCTCTATTAGGGTTTCACTCTTTGAAATGGTGGCTGAGGATAAGGCCTTAGCATTCCTTTTATAGTGCACAAGCCACAAATTAGGGTTTGCATCTGGGCCCGCTACGCCCAGCGTAACCCTGGGTACGCCCAACGTACCTAGGCGAGTCCGCGTCCAATGAAGCGCATGAGTACGCGCAACGTACTCTCCAGTACGCCCAGCGTACTCATTTGCCTTAATGTTTTCTTTAAGGGGCCAAACTTGACAACTTGGAAAAGAAGAAGGGTATAAGAGATGTACCTGAATTTCGGGATGTTACAGTTCTCCCCCACTAGAACCAAACTTCGCCCTCGAAGTCTCACGTCGTAAACAACTTTGGATGCTGCTCCCGCATCTACGACTCCGGCTCCCAAGTCAGCTCGGACCCTCTCTGATGTTGCCACTGGACCTGAACCAGGGACACCTCCTTGTTCCTCAGAACCTTGATCTTTCGATCCACAATCGCGATTGGCCTCTCAACATAATTCAGGCTCGCATCCACCTGAATGTCCTCTAGCGGTACCACTGCCGTCTCGTCGGCAATACACTTCCTCAACTGAGACACGTGGAAGGTATCATGAATCTAGCTCAACTCCGCAGGTAGCTCCAGACGATAGGCTACCTTGCCCACCCTCGCGGTCACCCTGAACGGACCAATGTACCGGGGCCCCAACTTGCCCCTCTTCCTGAATCGGATCACTCCTTTCCATGGAGATACCTTCAGGAGTACGAAGTCTCCCACCTGAAACTCAAGCTCGGATTGTCGCATATCTGCATAACTCTTCTGGCGACTCTGGGCTGTCAACAACCTCTGCCTGACCTGCTGAATCTGCTCGGTCGTCTGAAGCACTATCTCAGTGCTGCCTATCACGCGTTGCCCTACCTCTCCCCAGCAAATGGGAGTCTGACATCTCCTCCCGTACAACAACTCGAAGGGAGGCATACCAATACTCGAATGGTGGCTGTTGTTATAGGAAAACTCAGCCAACGGCAAGTACGTGTCCCAACTTCCACCGAAGTCCAACACACATGCTGGGAGCATGTCCTCAAGTGTCTGGATCGTCCGCTCACTCTGTCCGTCCGTCTGTGGGTGGTATGCAGTACTGAAATGTAGCCTCGTACCCAACTCCTCATGGAATTTCTTCCAGAACCTGGAAGTGAAACGCACATCTCGGTCCTACACGATTTGAGATCGGTACTCCATGCCGCGATACCACCTCTCTCACATACAACTCTGCCAGCCTCTCCGCAGAAGAGCTCTCACTGATAGCAAGAAAATGAGCGCTCTTCGTCAGGCGGTCAACGATCACCCAAATTGTATCGACACCTCTCGCAGTCCTCGGCAATTTGGTGATAAAATCCATGGAAATTTGTTCCCACTTCCACTGGGGAATCTCAAGTGGCTGCAACTTGCCCTGCGGTCGCTGGTGCTCGGCCTTAACCCTGCGACAGGTCAAGCACCTCTCCACAAACCACGCGACATCCCTCTTCATACAGGGCCACCAATAGTCTCTCTTCAGGTCCAAATACATCTTAGTGGCCCCGGGATGGATCGAAAACCTCGATCTGTGCGCCTCCTCCATCAAAATGGTACGTGCCCCGCCCTCAAATGGCACCCAAATCCGACCCTGAAAGGTCATAAGCCCTCGGCTATCGGCAATGAACTCAGATACCTGCCCGATCACCCGTTCTCTTTTGCGGTTCTCCGGTCTCATGGCCTCTACCTGTGCCTCCCGAATGGTGTCCAACACCGAAGTCATCACCGTTAATCTCATACAAACATCT